CTCCTCGCCTCCGCGCAGCGCGCACTCGTCTTTGAGAGTCTGTGGGTCGCTCCCAAAAGTCGGCTCTTGCCTTGGCGCTGCGCAGATCCGTCGTCAGAGTCTGCACCAGCTTCCAAAAAATGGAGAACAAGCCACTTTCAACATGCGGCTCTCCCCACAGCGCCACGCACGTTCGCATTTTACCATTTACATCACTTCCAAATGCTAGAAGGCGGTTCCGTGTCAGATGTGTCTGTGGCCTCAGATCCGAGTGCATTCGTCGTGAAAGCTTGCAACAGCCTAGAGGGAAGGAGGGGGCTCGTTTGTTTTATTACATTTGTCTATCGCCCTCGCGCTGCGCGCGTCCGCCTCAGAAAACAACAACGGCTCGGGGGGTGGATGGCATCTCTTGCCAGATCAGCAAGTTCCCATGACACTACGTATTCAAGCTTGCGTGTCTTGCCAAATCGGCAAGTTCCCATGACACTACTTATTCAAGCTTGCGTTTCTTGCCAAATCGGCGAATTCCCATGGCACTACTTCTTCCGGCTTGCGCAGCAGAGTCTTGAACGTGTGTAACATCTGCACGGATGAGGCCGCCTCATTCTCTGCGTGAGGCTCCTGCTGGACTTCCTCGAAGTCCATGGCCGGAAATGCAGACTTGTGATAAACAGACGGGGCGGCCCTTGACAAAACGCAGATACCGCTGGACACCTCGTTGAACTGACTGCATCACCATACCTTGTAGCATCCCGCCCTCCTCCCAGGAAAGATGCCCCCTCCTTCTCCTCCTCCTCCTCCCTCCTCCTCCTCCTCCTTCATTCTCCTCCTCCTCCTCCTCCTCCCTCCTCCTCCTCCTCCATCCTCCATCCTCCTCCTCCATCCTCCTCTTCCATCCTCCTCCTCCTCCTCCTCCTCCTCCTCCTCCTTCTCCTCCTTCTCCTCCTCGGCACGGTGGCCCCTCACAGATGGGCGCCGTGGCCAGGCGTAGGTAGGGCCTGTCCCCCTACAGGCGGCCTCTGGACGACAAATGAAAAAATTAACCAAAACAGTACCGCAAAATGGCCAAAAATAGTCAGAAAGTCGTCCTCCCGACTATTTCCTTACTATCTTTAAGTATTCCTCCTGTAGAGGTACGCGCCCGACTTAATCGGGAGCGGCCAAGAGGGGGGTGTCCAAGAGGGGAGTGTGCAAATCATGACCGGCGGCCATGTGCGCGGTCCAGCGGAAGGGCCAGGGGCGTAATGAAATAAGAAGAGGCGCCATGAAATCTGGGGAAATGTCATGGCCCGCACCATGATATCCACCCACCCACCCTAGTCATCACCCCCCTCTTTGCCGCGCCCGACTCAAGGCCAGGCCACCGCGGCGGGGGGCAACGCCGCCGCGCCTCGCCCCCCCCCGGGGCGCCCCAGCATTACTGTAGGCCTACCACGAAATTTTCTTAGAACCCGAGAATGTTCGAAGAACCAAAACAGATTTCTTAGAACGCATTCCCGATGTGTGAAAACAAGACAGTCCCAGCCAGAAATGTTCTAAGAACATTTCGTGCAGACCACAAAAGGTTCTTAGAGCATTGCTCGGTGGGGCTATAGGCGAGCCAAGACGCTTCGCCACTGCTTGACCCGGGGCTCGCCGCCCGCGCGCACCGATCCCCGACCGGGAGGCACACTGAGCCTCAGAACCGAAAGGGGCCCCGGGACACACAAATAAATACGAGGAGGAGGAGGAGGAGGAGGAGGAGGGAGGAGGAGGAGGAGGGATTCCCCATATTTTTCCTTCTTGTTTTTTTTGTCTTCCCCCCCCCACTTCCCATGTGTTCCCCCTATTTTCTGGGGGATCGACGATTTTAATCGTGTCTGTGGGTATTTTTTCCCTCCTGAAAACTCTCGCCAGGCAGCGGGCTCGTCCCCGTTTGGGGTGTGCGAAGTTTTCCATCAGACGCCCTGGTGCAGGTGAAGCGTCCTGCCACGGTGGTGTGTGGAACCCCTGTCGGGCGCCTTCCTGGACAGTTCGGCGGCACTGGGGGCGGAACGGAGTTCCATGGAGCTCTGGTGGTAGTGGTGCTGGGCCCAGGATTCAGTCGGGGCGTAGACCTAAGGTTAGGTCGGGCATGTCCTCCTACAGGCGGGTTTTGGACGGAAGCAAAAGACCCTAAAAATGTTCAAGAATAGTGACAAATAATCGAAAACTTGTGCCCTCACTAATGTTTGATTCTTTTTGAATATTCCTCCTGTAGAGGGACGCGCCCGACTTAGACCTAAGCAATCCTAAATAAGGAACGAGGCCCTTCTTTCCATAAGCTGCACTCCGATGAGTTCCCATCGACAGCCTCAGGGAAGCCGAAGGCAAGCCGTGAAACAATGTTAAGGAACGCGGAGCCCCTCCCCAACGCACAGGGTTCCTTCTTCAGCGCCCGACTGGAAGTTGCCGGCGAGTGAGGGGGGGAAATGTGAAGGACAAGAGGCCGTCTCAGAAAGCTCGGAGGCCCCCCGGCCTTCTGAGGTGGTCGAAGCCTTCCCCGGGGAGACACACACACACACACACAAAAGCCTCCCAGAAGGCGCGAGGGCTTCTGAGGACTCCCGCCGCCGTCTGAGCAGGCCTTCTCCTTCTCCCTCCCCCCCCTCGCTCGCCGCTGAATGACACACGTACGCAGCCTCCTACAAGGTGCATCCTACGCCGGAGGGTGCGCCCCTCCTGGTAGGGGGCCACATGCGAACCCCACCCCTACCACCCCCGACTTCTGAGGGGGAGCGGTGGGGTTCACTTCGCTCGAGAGCTCCCGAGCGAAATGAACCCCACCCTCCGTGGGGGGGTAGGCGTGGGGCTCGCATGTGGCCCCCTACCCAGGCCTGAGGCCGGGAGATCCTTTGAGCATCGGTTCTCCGATCCCTACCCCCAGCGGCCTGGCCTGGGCCGCACCGGCCGATCGACCCCCCTGGATGGGGATGCAGGCCGTTCCCTTCGGGAACTCGAGGGCCGCATCCCAAACTGGGGTGGTAATTCGGTGGGGGTCTCGAAGGGGATGGGGATGGGGAGGGGGGTCGGTAAAACGATACTGAGCCTGTGCCCAGGACCGAACCGATAAGTCGGATCGGCGATCGGAATGAATCGGATCAGCGGATATCGGCAGCTGAGGAGTCGGGAAAAGTCGAATCAACGGAAATCGGCAGGCTCGTACGCCTCCAAAAAGAAGTCGGACCCCAAGTCGGAATCCCGAGTCGAATCGAATCGGCATCGGAGAAGCCATCGAAATCGAACCGAATCGGATCGGAAGAGTCGAAACGGGCCCTGCCATCCTAGGCCCAAAATCGGGAGATCCTTTAGGAAGGCACCAACTGTACACCAGCACCGATCCTGGCCAGGATAACCCTGGGCCCAGGATCGGTGTATACGCCCTCCTGCCTTGCGCAAGAAGGCATATACACCGATCCTGGGCCCAGGGTGATCCTGGGCCAGGATCGGTGTTGGTGTATAGTTGGTGCCCTCCGATCCTTGGCCCAGGACAACAAACTCTACGGTCGAGAACGTCTACTCGGCGGGTCGCGGCGGCGCCCCCAGCGGCACGGGGTGCCCTGCAGGCTAGTGCGAAGCGTGTCGCGCCGCTCCGCGGGGCGGGAAGCTGGGAACAGCTCGAGACATTGACGCTTGGATGCAAGGACGTGGATAAGTTAAGTTTGGAGTCCCGAAGCGGTGCGGTGGCAGACCGTGCGGTGACCTCGAACTCCCCCAAGGCCTCACCGCACGGTCCGTCCGCGCACGGTTTTTTGGGACCTCGGAGGCCCCTGTCGCCCGAGACGTCCTGGGAGAACGACCCGAATCCCAAAACCGTGCGGTGACCCCGAATCCCCACTGACTCACCACGCGGTGTGGTCACCACCCCGTTTGAGGGCCCCCAAATAGGGTGTCGCGCCGAACAGCAGCGGGCCAGAACCGGCGGAGCGACACGCCATCCAAAACTTCCGACCGCAACCTGCCGAGAGAGGCATCCCACATTGGTGGATGCGCCCTCCAGCCGAACGGGCAGGCATAATTTTGAGTTCATCCTGGGCCCGAGGCCAGCATCGCCGGAATCGGGTGCGATTGGCGGCCCCCCGACCACCTCCCCCAGATACTCCTGGCAAAAGACCCAGCCAGATGCAGCTGTGAGTACTGTGTTGTGGGTACCGCTCCCGGTGGAACCCCCTTTATGGGGCCACGATCCTCGTGAGGGGTGTGCCGAAATGGGCGGGGGGACGCATGCAAACCCTGCCACTGGGGCCATCGGTGGAGCTCCCTATGGGGCCGCGATCCTCGTGGGGTGTGTGCAAAAAGCAGCGGGGGGGCGCATGCAAACCCTGCCGCTGGGGCCTTCGGTGGAGCTCCCTATGGGGCCGCGATCCTCGAGAGGGGTGTGCCGAAATGGGCGGGGGGACGCATGCAAACCCTGCCACTGGGGCCATCGGTGGAGCTCCCTTATTTCGGCCGCGATCCTCGTGAGGGGTGTGCCGAAATGGGCGGGGGGACGCATGCAAACCCTGCCACTGGGGCCATCGGTGGAGCTCCCTATAGGGCCGCGATCCTCGAGAGGGGTGTGCCGAAATGGGCGGGGGGACGCATGCAAACCCTGCCACTGGGGCCATCGGTGGAGCTCCCTTATTTCGGCCGCGATCCTCGAGAGGGGTGTGCCGAAATGGGCGGGGGGACGCATGAAAGCCCTGCCGCTGGGGCCTTCGGTGGAGCTCCCTATGGGGCCGCGATCCTCGAGAGAGGTGTGCCGAAATGGGCGGGGGGACGCATGCAAACCCTGCCGCTGGGGCCTTCGGTGGAGCTCCCTGTGGGGCCACGATCCGGTTTGCCGACATGGTGGACATGCGGCGAGCAGAAGCAGGGATGGGAGGAGGGAGGAGGGGGTAAGGGAGGGGGTAGCGGGAGGTGAGTTGAGGTGAGACGCGGGGCGCTGTCTCTTCAAAACGAGGACCAAACACCACAGGATGGTTGGGAAAAAACGGCGACGCGTTAGACCGCCCCCGTGTCTCCGAGTTCTTGTCCAAGTCGAACGTCGTGAACGCGCTCTGGAGCTCCTCGAGGGAGAGGGAGAGGAGGGAAGAGGCCGAGAAAGAGAATGGCATGAGGAGGATAAGGCTACACAAAATGACCGGAATATTGAAGGTGCAGGGGGCGATTGCGTCCTAGCGTGCGCGCTCTCAGGAATAAGACGGGAGCTAGTTTGGGAGCTATCTCTGTGGTTTTTTCTACAACTTAGGCTGCAAGAGGCTGGTGCCATCTTAAAGTTGGAGGGAAGATGGATTGCAATATCAGTTACACGTCTTGGGTTTACGCTGGTCCTCCTCCTCCACCTTCTCCTCTTTTCATACCCCCTGGTTCTGTTCTACCCATCGTTGGCCCTACCTACCCCCCACGCTCCTCTCCCTCGCCTCGCCTCCCTCCCTCCATGCTTCCCTCGTCTTCCTCCGTCGTCTCTCCTCCCTCCTCCTCCCCCACCGTCCCTCATCTCAGATCTGATCCTCCTCCTCCTCCGCATGCCCTTCAACCGCTCAAACTCAACCTCAGCCTCGTCTTCCTACCCCTGCTCATGCACCGTCTGCAAACCCCTGCCGCCCGTCCCGCCGCCCGAGAGGAGAGGCAGAGAAGGAGAAGGAGCACGACGACGGCGGTGCCTCAGGCTGCGCACAGACAGCCCCCCCAGGTAGTCCCAGCTGGCCTCAAGAAGACCCCCGAATAGTTTTAGGTCGGGCATGTCCTCCTGCAGGAAGATTTTGGACGAACAATCAAAAACAAACAACCACTAAATGGTCCAAAAAAAAACTCAAAGATAATAATAGAAAAATCGTCCCAAGACTAATTTTGCACTATCTTTGAATATTCCTCCTGTAGAGGGACATGCCCGACTTGAGAACGGTCCGAGGCGGCGCCAGGGTGTTGAGACTTCCCCGGACTACTTGGGGGGCCTGCTGAGGCCAGCAGGGACTGCCTCGGAGGAAGCTGTCCGTGCGCAGCCAGGAGCCTCGCCAGCGGGGCTCCGGAGATCCCCCGGGGCCCCCGGAAACGCACAGCCACGCCCACACCGAGGAAGACAGAAGGGCCACCGACATACAGAGGAGGCCAGACGAGAGACCCAACCCCGAGACCCCAGGGCGTCCACTGAAGTTTGGTGCGGCAGCGCCACGCCTTCCACGGCAGAACCAACGAGACCAAAAAGAAGCTCAGGGCACCCTGGAGGCAAGCAGGGCGTTTCTTGGCATGGGCCCCCACTGTGTCGCAGCTCCGCGGGGATGTCCTGGATCGGCGCCGGGGCCCCCTCCCTGGCGCGCAGAGCGCGCCAGGGGCGGCGCGGAAGTTGCCACCGGGGGGTCCCAGCGCCGGTCCAAGAGCTCCGAGCGGATCTGCGGAAGTTCCCGTGCATGCCGTCGTCCGCACCTCGCTTCTGCAGGTCCGAGCTCCGCAGCTGCCTGTACGCCCTCCTGTGCTCAGCTGCGTTCTTGCTCTTGTGGACACTGCGCAGGCCTGACGAAAGCTTGAGAAGTCCCTTCCAGTGTGTTCTTTGCCAGTCACACACGGAAAAACTCTTCCCGTCCTCCCCGACAGGGGGGCGGCGGCGGCGGCAGCGACGACGAGTTGGACGCTTGAAAGAAATACGGAAAAAAAATAGCACAATGCCCAACAACAAATACTGCTCAAAACCGACAGCGGCCGCTGTTGGGAAGGCGGCACTCTGTCTCAAATGGACAATACCACGGCGACGCCGACAGCGCACCCCGTTCAAAATAAACAGGTCCTACTGTCGGTCTTCGTCGGCGCTCTTGTCGTACCCAGTTTGATCCTCCAGAGTTTACTCCTCCCCCCCCCATCCGCCCAGGCGCGCCTCCCAGAAGTACGGATACCGCTAGTCTCCCGAACCCTCCTGCGGTGCGCTCTGACCAAAATCTGGAGGCGAATCCAGCGGTGGCGACGAGGGCCTCCCAGGAGGCCCAAAGAGGCGAGAACAGAGAATGACTCGATCAGCAAAATGATCACCCCGAATCCTTTGGGAGGGGACCTCAGTTAGGAGGGCCAGAGACAGTAGGGGCAAGGGGGCCATGTTTGCAGATGTGTGAAACGAAACCACGCACATGCATAGGGATAACACCGTGAGCCTAAGGCAGGCCACGAACTCATTGTGTTATATCAAAGCTAGTGGCTGTATGATGCTGAAGAAATCTGACGGTTTTCGCACCCGAACTTGGAGGCCTCCTAGATGGGGTCGGAGAAGATGGGGTCGGAGGATTGCGCCGTAACGCCGATACACCGGCGATGCATCGGCGATACATCAGTGATGCAACAGCGATGCATCGTCGACGCTGGCGCTGCATCGACGACGCCGGCGCGGGGAAACACGGCCTCCACATCGAGCCCCATCGCCGATGCATCGACGATACAGCGCGGTCCTCCGACCCCATCTACTCGGACCCCATCCATTGAGCAGGGACCGACCGTCCCGGCTTTCCTGTAGTCCGACCACGAAATTTTCTTAGAACCCAAAAATGTTCTAAGAACAAAAACAATGTTCTTAGAACATTAACCCGATGTGTCACACCAAGACAGTCCCAACCAGAAATGTTCTAAGAACATTTCGTGGAAACCACACAAGGCTCTTAGAACATTGTTTGGTAGGGCTACAGGCGAGCCAGGACGCTTCGCCCCTGCTTGAATCCAGGAGGCCTCTAGACAATCACGTCGGTCCTCGCACCCGACCTGCTGCGGGCCATCGTGCCCGTTTAAAACAGGGCTAGGATCGGGACAAATCGCTCCAGAGCGTTCCGGACCGCTCTCAGAGCGCTCCGGCACGCTCTGGAGCGGCCGCGGCGCCCAATACACCCTCCAAACCCGCCGATCCTCAGAGACTTCGAGTTCTCCCGATCCGATTTTGTCCCGATCTTCGCGTCGTTCTACCTGGTCATCACCCCCCTCTTTGCCGCCCCCCCTCCCCGCAGAACTCGTCGGGGGGCGGGGAGGCGGAGGAGGAGGAGAAGGATGAGGAGGAGGAGGAGGAGGAGGAGGAGGAGGAGGAGGAGGGGGAAGAGGAGGAGGAGGAGGAAGAGGAGGAGGAGGAGGAGGAGGAGGAGGAGGCCTTCCGTGCCCCCTCCGCTCGCGCGTCGAATCGCGGCGAGCGCCGGCGGCCGGCCGCGCCTCGTCGGTGAAGGTGCGCTGCACGAGGCCCGGCTGCAGCGCCTGCCGGCCGGCGCGCGGCGCAGGGCATCGCAGGGCGGCGGCGGCCCGTGGGGCCCCACTGCCTCTGCGGGGTGGGCAGTCGAGGCCAATCTGGCGCCAATCTGGCAGGCCCAATCCTCCTCCTCCTCCTCCTCCTCCTCCTCCTCCTCCTCCTCCTCCTCCTCCTCCTCCTCCTCCTCCTCCTCCCCCCCCCCCCCTCCTCCTCCTCCTCCTCCTCCTCCTCCTCCTCCTCCTCCTCCTCCTCCTCCTCCTCCTCTGCTGACAACCCGCACGGGTTTCTTGGATCTGCGCTGGCAACCCCCTCCCTAGCGCGCGGAGCCCGCCAAGGCTGGGTAGTCGAAGCCAATCTGGCGCCAGTCTAGCAGGCCCAATCTGGCAAACGGGGGCAATCTGGCGAGGGAGCCAACGCGAATCCAGTCTGGCGAAGCGCCCAAATCCTCCAATCTGGCCAGGCCAGATTGGCCCTTGGGGCCCAGTCCAATCTGCCAGTCTGGCCTTCGACTACCCAGGCAGAGCCCAGAATCGAATCGATAGCTCGGATCGGCGATCGGAAGGAATCGGATCGGCAGAACTCGGCGGCCGGGTCGGGAGAAGTCGAATCGGCGGAAATCGGCGGGCTAAAAACGCCTGCAAGAAGGAATCGGAGCCCAAATCGGAATCCCAAGTCGGATCGAATCGGAATCGGAGGCAGTCGAAGTCGAATCGAATCGGAGGAGTCGAAACGAGCCCTGGGGTGGGCCCCTTCCATTGCTCCGTGGCAGGGTGGGCCCTTTCCATCGCTCTGTGCACTTCAGCGCCGGCTGCGGCTTCGGGCCCCCCAGCGGGCCTCGAGGGGCAACGGTGCTCGGTGTCCCTCTTCTGGGTTTGCGGGATCCGGGCGTGCGCGCCTGGTCGGCTCTCCGACGCTTGCCACAGGTGAAGGGGCCCCAGGACACACAAATAAATACACACAAATAAAAATATCCCCCATATTTTCCTATATTTTCTGGGTTTCTGTCTCCCCCCCCACTTCCCATGATTCCCATATTTTCTGGGGAGTCGAGGATTAATTGTGTCTGTGTGTGTTTTTTTCCCCTCTCCTGAACAGGATGGTTGGGAAACAGGTTACCAGCGTGGACCCCTAGCAGCGAGATGTTGCACTGTGTGCGGCAGTGTAGAATGACCTATGAGCTATGATCTATGTGGTATGAGCAGTGCGATGGCGCAGTGTGTGTGGCGAAACGAGTGTGGTGCGAGCGATGCGGTGAAAGTTCTATGGTGTAAGATATGTGATATTAGAGGTGTGGTGCGAGCTACGTGGTGAAATAAATGCGGTGTGAGATGAACATGTATATATATATATATATATACATACGACCACCCTTTGGGTAATACGGCGGTTCGGGGGGAGGTACCGACGTCTCACCTAATCGATCTCACGGTCGAACTTACTATCGATCTCATAATCGATCTCACAATGGATATCACAATCGATCTCACGATCCCTCTTCCTGTCTATCGATCTCGATATCCCTCTAACAATCGCTCTGACGATCCCTCTCACTATCGATTTCTCGATCAGTCTCACTATCGGTCTCACTATCGATCTCACTATCGATCTCACTATCGAACACCAACGGGATACCGACGAAACACCGACGGGAAACCGACAGGACATCACTGTCGATCTCACTATCGATATCACAGTCAATATCACTATCCCTCTCACAACCGATCTCACTATCGATCTCACTGTCGCTCTCACTAGCGCCTCTCACAATCGATCTCACTACCACTGTCGGCCTCACTATCGATTTCACTATCGATCACACTATCGATCTCACCATCGGTATCACTATCGATCTCACTGTCGATCTCACTATCGACCTCACTAACGATCTCACTGTCGGCCTCACTCTCGACCTCACTATCAATCCTACTATCGATTTCACTGACGGACACCGACGGGACACCAGCGGGACACCGACGGGACACCGACGGGACACCAATCGGGACACCATCGGGACACCATCGGGACACCATCGGAGGACACCACGGGACACCACGGGGCACCATCGGAACACCACAGCGGGGCATCACTGGCCTCCGCTGGACAACCCGGGGGGTGGGGGCGGTCTTTTAGCCCGGCAGCGCCCTAGCCAGAGGAGGGTTCATGCCTCTCGCCCGCCCACGCAGCTTCGCCTAGCCCGCTCGCACGACACGCACACGAAACCCAAACCGAGTCCCCAGTGGGGGACTTGCTGTTTCACTGGTGTCACTGCGATCTCACACCCTCGCCATCGATATCTATACGACCGACCTTCGGGAGATAAGGAGCCTTGGAGGGGAGAAACCAACGTTGCACGCAATGAATCCCACAATAGATCTCAATATCGATCTCACTATCGTTCTGACTGTCGATCTCACTATCAACCTCACGATCGATCTCACTATCTGTCTCCCTATCGATTCCACTATCGACCTCACTATCGGTCTCACAATCGATCTCACTATCGATCTCACTATCGTGCCTACGATCGATCTCACTATCGATCTTACTACTGGACACCGACGGGACACCGACGGGACATCACTAGCGATCTCCCTCGATCGACCTATCGATACCGCTATCCCTCTCACAATCGATCTCACAATCGATCGTACTATCAATATCATTAACGAAACCACGATCGACCTCACAGTCGATCTCACTGTCGAAATTACTATCGATATCACTCTCCCTCCCACTGTCGATCTCACTATCGCACTATTGCTCTCAATCGGACTCGCTACCGATCTTACTATCCCTCTAACAGTCGATCGCACTATCAATATTACGATCGATCTCACTATCGATCTCACTATCGACCTCACTATCGGTCTCACTATCGATACCACTATGTCGCCATCGATCTCACCGTCGCTCCCACTATCGGTCTCAGTATCGATCTCACTATCGATCTCACTACGGGACACCGACGGGACACCGACGGGACACCGACGGACACCATTTGCGATCTCAGTCGATCTCACTCGATCGATCTCACTCGATCGATCGCACAATCGATCAGTCCCTCTGATCATCGATCCCATTGTCGATCTCACTATCGATCTCACTATGGATCTCACCGTCGAGCCCAAAATCGACATCACGATCGATCTCACAATCAATCTCGCTATCGGTATCACTATCGATATCACAATCCCTCTCGCTATCGATCTCACTATCGCTCTCACTATCGATCTCACCGACTGGACACCGACGGGACACCGACGGGACACCGACGGGACGCCGACGGGACACCAAATGGGACACCACCTGGTACACCATCGGGACACCATCGGGTCACCACCTGACCGCAGGACACCATCGGGACAGAAGCGGGACACCACCAAGACACCATCGGAACACCACAGGACACCACGGGACACCATGAGGACACCATGGGGACACCATGGTGAGACACCCCCGGCCACCGCCGGCCAACGGAGGGGGGAGGGGCGGTCTTTTGGCCAGGCGGCCCCCTAGCCAGAGGGTTTTCTTCTCGCCCGCCCACGCAGCTTTGCCCCGCCCGCCCGCACGACCCGAACACGAAACCGAAACCGATGTTCCAGTGGGTGGCTTTCCGTTTCACTGCGATCTCACCCCCCCACCTCCGATATACAGTCAAAACGTACATTAAGGGCGGATTGTAAGGACGCGAGACCCTTGGAGGCCGAAGTTGGGATTTGATGGGCGGGGCGACCAGCGAAAACGGCAAAGGACAGCCCGTGGAGGCAAGGACACAAGGGGCACCCTAGATGAAGACGCGCGTCCTGGCTAGGCGCGTTGGCTGTGTGCGGTGTGAGCTATGTGCGCAAGCCACGCAGTGCCAACTGACTGATAACAGGGGATGCGTCGACCCCTATCCCAGGCTCCGTGAGGTTTTCGAGAGGATCAACAATTTGGGGCCCAACCCTGGGATATACGAGGGGGGGGGCGTCCATCCTCGACAGGGGTGCGTCCGAATAGCCCCCTCGGGATGTATCCCAAGATTCCTCCCCTTTTCTGAGCGACCAAACTTTTCTGGCGGAAGTCGGGGATTGGGGGAGAGAAATCGCCTGCGAACTGATGCGACACGTGCAGTGCCGCGCAGTGTGCGCCACGGGGCGCCCGCGGGGCGCCCACGCGCGGCAGCGGGGCGAAGCCGCAGCGCCCACGCGCGGCAGCGTGGCGGACTTCGAGCGCGGACCCGCCCAGCGCGCGCGCGGGGCGCCCCCGAGGCGCCCGCGGGCGGCAGCGCGACGGAGACTTCGCGCGAGACCTCGGCGGACACGCCCGGCGCAAGGGCCGCCCGCGGGGCGCCCGCGGGCGGCAGCGTGACGAAACCCCGGCGGACCCACGCGGCGCACGGGCCGTCCACGAGGCGCCCCCGGGCGGCAGCGCGGCGGACGCTCGGCAGACCCCTCCCGTTCCTCCTCCTCCTCCTCCTCCTCCTCCTCCGCCTCCTCCTCCTCCGCCTCCTCCCCCCCCCCTCCTCCTCCTCCTCCTCCTCCTCCTCCTCCGCCTCCTCCGCCTCCTCCTCCCTTTCCCCCTCCTCCTCCTCCTCTCTCCTCCCTCCTCCTCCTCCTCCTCCCCCTCCTCCTCCTCTCCCTCCTCCCTCCTCCTCCGCCTCCTCCTCCTCCCCTCCTCCTCCTCCTCCTCCTCCTCCTCCTCCTCCTCCTCCTCCTCCTCCTCCTCCTCCTCCTCCCTCCTCCCTCCTCCCTCCTCCCTCCTCCTCCTCCTCCTCCTCCTCCTCCCTTTCCCTCCTCCTCCATCCTCCTCCTCCTCCTCCTCCTCCTCCTCCTCCTCCTCCTCCTCTCCCCCTCCTCCTCCTCCTCCTCCCCTCCTCCTCCTCCTCCTCCGCCTCCTCCTCCTTTCTCCCCTCCGCCTCCTCCTCCTCCTCCTCCTCCTCCTCCTCCTCCGCCTCCTCCTCCTCCTCCTCCTCCTCCTCCTCCTCCTCCTCCTCCTCCTCCTCCTCCTCCTCTGGTCCTTTTCCTTATG